GAGAATGTTCATATTTCCTGTTGGAATGCTGGATCTGTGTTGCCACAATCCAAAGGTCAAGCAGCAGCTGTGACATGCTGCCCGCTTCCTTTTCATCAAAGAATCCTTCTGGAGGGAAGTCAGTCAATAGTAGGCAATAGGAGTCGACCTTGTGCAGTCAGCCCAGCATGTGTGATATATGCTAATGTATGTACACAAGTACAGGAAGCTGACATTAATTAAGGCATAATGATGTGCACACAAAGGTACTTTGCTGTACTGTGTATCTCTGAGAGATGTGTTGACGACCCACTGTAAAATAATTGAAAGTCTAGGCCTAATAACTGCAGTGTGAAGGTGGAGCCATTGATCAAGCACTCGAGAGTAATGGGAGTGTAAGAGAAACTCCCTGAGGACAAAAAACAATTGATCAATCAATCAATTCTATCTATCTAACTATAATCTACATCCTTATCCATTCATCTGTCCGTCCATCCATCCATCATATATATATATAACCATCAATCTATCTATAACCATCAACCTACTCATCTATATCATTGTCTATCTATCTGTCCTGAATTATGAAACTACTACATACAAACTACTACTACTCATCTATTCATCCATCCATCCATCCATTCATCTATCTTAAATCGAGATGTATGTATGATACAGCAGAGATGTGGCATTTATGTAAGCATGTTTTCATGCTGCTAAAAGCCATTTAGTGACCTCATTGAAGGGCCGATGCACAAAATCTCCATTTCAGATGAGAGAAAATCATAAATGTGAAAAGAGGGATTGTCAGTGGGGGTCTGGCAAAATATAACCACACACACACACAGACACAGACACACACACACACCTGAGGGCAGGTGATCATCTTCCTCTCCATGAAGCACCACATCCACCAGAGATCAGGTTGTCATGGTAACTGACCTACAAGCTGATTAAGGGAGCTCTGATAGAGAGAGAGAGCGTGAGTGTACGGTGGTGAAAATGAGACATTACACTCAGACAAAGAACGACATCAAACACGTCTTCTGCTTTTTTAAATGGCTGAAAATTGCAGCCGAATTTCAATCACAGATCATCAGTTCACACCTTGAACGGCTAACCGGCAAACCTGATGAGATATTTAAAGGAAGGAAAATCATATTCAGCATGTAACTCAAGGTTATAGTCACTTCAGCTGGACTGATCTGACTATATTTTTGCCTGTGCCTCTCAGCTGAACAGGTGATGCAACAATTGTTATTGTTAGTTCATGTCTAGCTTACATCAATGAATTTGATCAGTTTTACAAAAATATGCTTATGGCCCCAATGCATTTTGTCTTTACGGCCTGAATGAATACACATTTTAAACATAAAAATGTAAATAAAACAATTAGATGCTAAAAACGTTATAGTGAAAAAAGCTTTAAAAGCAAATTGTTTGAACAGAAAAATATATAACTCTCTCTCTCTCAAAAAAAAAGAGGTTGAAACCTCAAAAATATATATACAAAAATCACTCACATTAAGTAGCTTCTCTGAATTTATCACTGTACTTTTCTCTTATTAACAATATAGAAATTTCCTCAGTCAGTCCTTTGTTCAAATCACTCCTTGCTATGAGGCGCCATCTGCTGTTAGAAAAAGGACCACACTCCTTCAGAGGAGGTTTTTTTTGGGGGGGAGGGGGGGGACTGAAATGCAGTACATTAAAAGACAAATAGATCATTTATGAGCTCATTTGATATTTTTTATTGAAATAAGACAGGAAGGAGAGACAGAGATATAAAAATATGAGAGAGAGAGAGAGTTTGTCTGTCACTTCTCATATTCGCACCCTACTCTAGATATGTCCATTCATATCTGGCAGGTAGCAATTTATCTGTCAAGTTAAGCTCTATAAGCTATGCTTACTGTATTCACTCGGACGACAACTTCCAGCCTCCGCATTGAGTAACATGATTACATGGTAGTGAAGGAGAGGGGGTGACCTCATTAACCTTGTTTTAGGCTTGACTCCTTGATGAGCGGTGCAAAGAGAGAGAGAGAGAGAGAGAGAGAGAGAGAGAGAGAGAGAGAGATTATCTGAAACCTGATATCATGCTATACTCTTTACAGAATTTCTGCTGGTTTTATGAAGGTAAATTTAAGATTTAAGACCTTTTTAAGACCAAGTAAAAAATACAAATTTAAGGGAACACAATACGTCAATATATCATCTAAATGTAAATGTCTAGGGAGCATTTGTATTAGAAAAACCTCAGAGATGGAAAATACAATCTCCATTACTTTTTAATCCATTATTTAAAAAAAAAAAATAGCTTAAGGTTTGAATAACTCGGCTCTCAAATACCAGAATGACAATAACTTTTACTGTATCTTCTGATCGCACAGCAAAAAAGTGATAATCTTCCATAGTATTTTTGACTTGTTTTCCAGTGAAAATGTCTAATGATTCTTAAATCAAGACACATTAACACTCTAAAAAATGCTGGGTTGGTTCAACCCAACTTTGGGTCAAATATGGTCTAACCCAAATTTTGGGTAAAAAATTTTATGTAAAAATTTAACCCAACAGTTCGGTTAGTCCATATTTGACCCAAAGTTGGCTTGAAACAACCCAGTATTTTTTAGAGTGTACTTAATAATCAAAATTACATAAGATAAAAGGTCTTGTTTTCTGTGAAATGAACCAAAATGAAGTGAGTTTATGATTATAACCAGAACAAATATCTGCCAATGGGCTCAGAAAAATCAACTTAATTTAAAGGGAAAGCTAATTTTCCGCACGGTGTATATTTGTGGTTGTTTAGGCATAAAGTCGCCTAATTAATTTTGTTCAGGGTCTCAGAAAACAATACTTAAATGTCCTTATTTTGCATCTCAAGTAAACGTATCTTTATTTAAGGAGGTTTACTGTAGATATTTGTATTTTAAAACAAAAATACTGTGGAAGATATTTATATTTTGCAATGCATGCAAGATTTAATGCCATGACTTTATCTACTCTGATTTTAAGGCCTTAAATTGTGGGAGATTGAAAACCCTGTGTTTATGGGAATCATCATTTCAGTTCAATAGATCTTACTGTTTATTTCAGTACAATATATCCCAGAGAAATACTTACCTTAAAAGACCTGTTGGTATCTCTAGTGCTAGAAAATATCTAATAATTCAATATGCAGCCCCTGAAAAACAAGATACACTCTAATAAATGCCGGGTTAAATATAACCCAGCGCTGGGTTAAAAAGGGACGAACCCAGCGTCTGGGTTGTTTTGAACCCAACCGCTGGGTCAAAGTAACCCAACCTCTGGGTCAAAACAACCCAATAGCTGGGTTTGTCCCTTTTTAACCCAGTGCTGGGTCATATTTAACCCAGCATTTTTTAGAGTGTACACTCCAAGCTCACATTATCATCTTTTAAATGTACAACAAGGTACTTAAATTCATTCCTCTACACATTAAACTACATTATCCTAAAGCATAATTTAACATGCTCAGTTACACAGAATGACCCATACATTTAGATTAGTATGAGGCTGTTATGGGTTTTTAATTTACATGATTATATCCATGTCTGGACACAGTGTCTGTGTAAGTACTGTCTGGGGTAGATGGTGATTAGACAACTGATCACTAAATTATAGAAGTGAATGTCATTACTAATGAGATATGATTACATAACAATTTTTGAAATAAAATGTAGCTTTTGCTTGACATGTCGCCATTTTGCAAAATCAGATATAAAGATTTCTACATTAATTAAAATGTTTAACTGTGTAATATACAGTGGGATTCGATTATTAGCATGAACAGAAGAATTAGCCCACATGTCTAGTCTGTGTGGTGTTTTTTTTTTTTTTTTTTTAAATCCTACTTTCTGGGTATAAATTTGATTTACACTCATTTGCCGCATAATGTTGACAACACACAAAAAAACCCCACAATTACTTAATGGAAAAAAACTGTGCTATATTAAAATACTGTAAACAATATTATTGTCAACATGATTTTAGTGTATAAAAACAAAGTCTGCTAACCTCATCTCAAATAATAATAAAATAATTAATTCAGTGCTTTGAAAACAAAAACAAAATTTCTAAGCATCACATTTCTGCTTTTAAATACTCAGAAATTTCAATTCCATTATATGCGCCTCACCATTTTGACTTCTTTTACCTTTTTTTACGAGTTGAAAAAAGTTTATGCTACAAATACTGTAAATAACACTTGTTATTGAACCCATTTAACCACTGTGAAATTAATACTTTAAATTTAATTTAGGCTTACTTTTACAGTACTTACAAAAACAGTAACTATCACAAAGGCCTACAGCACACTGAGCAACAGCAAAGTGACTGTTGTGAGACAACCTGAAAGAGAGTGAGAAAGAAGCATAAGCATGCTTATAAGACACATCTTACCATCACATGTTCAAATTCAGAGCAGACAGACAGACACCATGCTGTGGTGTGGACATGAGTGGAGGTATTCGGATTGGCTGGACTTTGATTTTCTAATGTAGACAAAGCTTGGGAGGAAAAGGATATATAACCTATTATGATTCAAATGTTAAAGCAGAGGGACTCAGCCAGTTCAGCAAAAGAATCCAGCTGGTGTTTCTACAGTGGGAAAAAGAAACAGATCATAATCAATGGAATGAGGGCACCTTGAGACATTATCAACCAACCAGAACATTAACAACAAACCTGAATGCAGGTGAGTTAAACGGTTTCTTGCACCAACATCAAAAAGCTTCTCTCAGTGTCCATTCACTTTCATTATACGGAAAAAAGATGCAAAGGAATGGTGATTGAGACGTTATGTCATTGTACTTAACATCTCATTTTGTTTCCCAAATAAATAAAGTAAGTAATACGGCTTCGGATTCGGAACAACACGAGGGTGGGTAAATGAATTTGGTGAGCTGAGTTTATCGCCTAAATTGGGCTTTTATTTTGAAAGCAAGAGACGGCCTTATTGAGGACTTTTATTTTGCTTTCCAGCAGAGCCACTGGACTGGTTCCTTTAGTAGGTCAGGCTAGATGGCTCCCGGAACATTGTCAAGCTGAAACCAAACTCCTTTAGCCGATTGAGCTGTTTTGATTATAATCTCTTTTAGTTATTGTGTTTTGATCGTTCAAACACCACCATAGCCTGTAGAATGGAGATCGGTGCTTTATCATGAAACTCCGCGCGCAGTATGACAGGTATTTATTTATTAAGACCTTTACTCTAAAGAGCAATTTTTTAGCTTTCATAAAACCATCAAGAACCTTAGATATAAACCGTTGGAGATGTTATATTATCCTTGATTTAATGCAGTTATGGCTAGCGAATATGTTCTGTCAACACCGAAGTTTAGAGCAGTTCATTTATATGTTACAGTATGCACTAGAATAATCATGTAAACAGATGTGTAACTAAGGATTATCATACGAGCAACACTGCTGTTGCTTCGGACGGGAGCGCCGCAAGGATTTCCATTTTGGGTGGACCATAAAAAGTTGGGAGTGGCCACAATTTTACAGTGGAGTAGCAGTTATGATATTATATAGAATACGATCATTTTTGCGATATAACAAACGTTAGGGCAAGAATAGCGTAGCTAAACGTGACTGGTCAAAACGTTATTTATATATATATATATATATATAGATAGATATAGATATATATAGATATACATATATAGATATAGATATATATATACACATACACGAGGCAGGTGTTGATATTCACAACAGCATAAATATTATGGTGACATTTTATAAAACAGTTCTATTCAGAAGTAATTGAAATAAGGAACTTGTTTCAGACAAAATGTAAAAAAAAAAAAAAAAAAAAGAGGATAGTTTGTATATTTCTGACCCAGCAAAACTGGTTGTAAACACCAACGCATCGAGCTTTGCGTGTCCCCAAGCAACGCGCTGATTGGACAAAATCCCTTTAAGGGTATTCTATAGTCTTTGGATTGGATCACTGGAGCGGAGCGACATCAATTTCCCGTCACACCCACAAGGCCCACATTTTTTTACAGTTCCACTCTTTTTAATTTCACACTCCCCACTTGCTAGTAGTGAGAGAAACCCTCTCCGAGCGACCAAAAAATTATTTCTTAGTACATTATAATAAAATGGAGTTTATTATATTTACATGGAGTTTGCCTGTTTTATGTCTGTCTTCTGATGCACTGATCTGGTTTATTTTTCAACAGAGGAGCATATAGCGAGTCCAGAAGAGCGTTTAAACTGAGGGATTCACTTGATCCGATGCAAACCGATCCGAGCCCGCAGGGAGGGAACGGGCTGTCATTAACCCTGCAGCCGGAGCTGCTCGCCCGAATGCCCGGCGCTGGAAGTGCCAACAGGCCGGAAACAGACGAGGACGTCCGGGTTTCTATCGGCAGCGGACGCGGCGCAACGTCGCGGAGGCCGAGAGCAGCGAGCCACAGCCACGGACACACACACAGCCACGAGCACGAGTCAGACAGCAGCGAGTCTGACCTGGATTCCGGAGAATCCAGCAGCTCGTTATCGGAGCTGCGCTACCTCCTGCGCTGGCTCAAGAAGAGTCTCCCCTTCATAGTTATTCTCTGTGCGAAACTAGTCATCCAGCATGCCCTGGGTACGTGTTAGTGAGAACAGCTGTTTATGCAGTAGTTATGATGTGTAAAGGTCATTAACCTGTCACGCGTCTGTGTTGTTATTTTTCTGTAGGTCTGGCTGTTGCAGTTGGTTTGTTTACCACCTTTATGTATGTCAACAAAAGCATTCAAACGCTAGTCTTTCTCCACGTGAGTCTACCATATTATTTGATATTTAACTGGGGAGTTATAGATCAGTGCTTGTAACACCTCTAAGTAGGGTTATAGGTTAATCTGTTGTGGTGATCTATGAACTTTGACGATTGTGCCCTTGAGCAAATTTGCTTCATGCGCAAAAGTCTATTCACATCAAGAGCAATATAAAAACTCCTCAAGGAATTTATATTAAATGGATTAAAAGTGACAGTAAATATATTTATAATGTTTCAGAATATTTCTCTTTGAATAAATGCTGTTCTTTTGAACTTTCTACTCACTAAAGAATCCGGTAAAAAAGTTATACTATTTCCACAAAAATATTAAGCAGCACAACTGTTTTCAACATTGATGATAATAATAAATGTTTCCTCAGCAACAAATGAGCATTTTGACGGATCATTTGACACATCATGTGATCTTACAAACCCCAAAATTTTGAATGGTTGAGTTTGTGTGTGTGTATATTTATATATAACTAAACAAACTAAAAATAATAATAATAATCTGATGGCTCCTTTGTTTTTTCTCCTGTATAAAGGACCGAAGGACAAAGTTGCATTGTGCCTGGCTTTTGCTGTTCCTCACATCCTCCAGTCTCCTCGTGTTGTACACTTTTCACACCCAGTCACTTTATCGCTGGTAAGTGCTTTACATTGTATCCCCAAACCTCACTTCACCACAAACTGTTCTACGTTTAATGTAATATATCAACTAAATAACTAAATGTCCACTAAATGACAAATACGTACCATGTAAATATAATCGTCTCTCTCTTTTTTCTTTTATCCCTCAGCCTCATTTTTGCCAACGCTACAATAGATTCCCAGAACTTCTGGGAGGTTTTATGGAGTGTCGGTGTGACTAACTTCATTTTGAAGTTTTTCTTCATGGGGCTCAAGTGTCTTATTCTCCTCATCCCCTCCCCACTCATGACATACCGGCGAAGGGTGAGCATGATTTGTAACATTATTTATTTTGCTGCTCTGAATCGAAATGAATGTTAGCTTCACTGTATCCATCCTGCTTTCCATAGGGTCAGTGGTACATGCTCATAGAGGAGGTGGGTCAGTTGTATCAAGTGATCGCTCCTGTCCCGCTTTGGTTCCGCTATCTGGTCAGCTACGATGAGATGGACACCTCAGTGGGTCTGACTCTGGGAATCCTGCTAGCCTTGCTCTACCTCATAATGAAGGTGAGTACAATCATTACAATAAGCTGCCATTTGAAACCAATACATTATTAGGAGACATCCCAATAATCTGATCTTATAATGTTTCTTATTTTTAGCTTTTGGCCTTGTATGGACTGTCAGGATCATTGCAAAAACAATTACGGACTTTTTTCAGTCCTGAGGTACAAAAGATCGCCTTTTACCTGTCCTGTGCTCCTCTTAGTCTGAAATATTTGTTGGGTAATCTGTAACACAAATAGTGAAATGATAGACAAATGTCTGGTTTTCTGTATGTGCTGTTTAATGTTGTTTTTACCTGTCTGTAAAGGTGAACGGAGCTCCAGCCAGTCCTGCTCAGATTAGAGAGGCAGGTGACATTTGTCCGATCTGTCAAGCTGATTTTAAGCAGCCTCGGGTCCTCGTGTGTCAGGTGAGAATGTGGTCCTTGAGTTTGACCTCTGATGTCATTCCACTTAACCTCCACTTTCCGAGGCTAAACCATAAAGCATCTTGAGCGCAGTATTTTATTACAAAGCTAATCTCAACCCACATGAAAAAGACATTTTAAATGAGAAAATTAGCTCATGTAATTCTTTTGTTAAATTATTTTACAAGATGGTCATATTTACATTATTTTTCTGTAAACAGACAAATGTGTTGGCACTAATTTTACTACAGCTAGTACTCCGTTAAGGCTAATAAGCAATGAATGTTACAATGTGTCCTGTCCACTTTTTTATTTCATTTTATTTTTTTTATCTTTCAGCACATGACTTTTGTTTCTGTAGATGTAATACACAGTGTCACACAATGCATGTGCATAAATGTCAAATATTTACTGTTTGATTGTCTCCAGCATATCTTCTGTGAGGAGTGCATCGCCCAGTGGCTTAACCAGGAGAGAACCTGCCCTCTCTGCCGCACTGTCATCACAGACAAGGTGCATAAGTGGAAAGATGGTGCAACATCAGCTTATTTACAAATATACTGAAATCTCACAGAAAGGACGGAAACACAGTGTTGTGGCATATTGAAACATTCAACCAGCAGTGGATCCACAGAATGTGGATTGTTCCTCTCAGACATCTCCTTTGAGCAAACAGCACTTGTTATAAGGCAAAGGGCTCTAGAAAAAGCTCCAGTTTTGAATTTTTGAAATATAGATAACTTGTCAAAAGGACAAGTGTTTTCACCAGCTCTTGTATTATTATTATTATTAACTATTATTATTGTCGCATGTTGGGACTCCTTTATTTTTTTAGTGTTTATAATTTATATTCCTCTTTTTGTTCTTGCATGTCATCTCTGGTTTTACTAATTACCTTGTGGGTGTAAGCAGACAAATACAGTGGAGACAAATGGATTTCTTCATATTGTATTTGTGGAGAAAACACTCACAAATAATGTGGCAGAAATTCAGTTGTCTCAAATGTATTTCAATTTTTGTTTTGTTTTATTTGTCATGGATACTGGGACTTTTGGTATGATCCTTTGTCAGATACTGTGGTTTTTGCAACTGAATTTGTTTTAAATGCATTTTAGACTCCAATCATAAAGAGTTCTGGATTTTGCATTCAATTTGAAGTATTCTGATTTCTTTGGTAATAATCTGAATGTGAGTTATTTGCACATGAACTACTGATTTATCAAATGATGTAGCATTAGAATTTTGTAACCATGTGATTTTTGTGACTGAACAACACACAATGGCTTTTGAATTATTATTATTATTATTATTGTAATTCAGGCCTTTCCACAGATACATGGTATTTTTCTAATCATGTTGTACTTACACTGTAATAAACCAAAGCTTTGAAGACGAAATATCTATTTTAGTATCATCATGCAGTATGCGGTTACAGTTGTATTTTTATCCAGTATATTTGACCAAATAAATTTTTCAATCTGTTAAAAAGTGTCACTGAAATGCTTTGCCCAGTAAATGCAGGTTTGCTTGGTAAATGTTCAAATTCACTAAGGTTAAATTTAAATGAATTTTAAAATAAACACGAGCAATCACAAAACACCAGATATGAATCAATCTCGCCATTCCATACTTTACATCTTCATTGTTTAAACCAAACGTGCCACTGTCTAATAAACACAGCACTTCAAGCATTTGCATTTAAAATGCAAAATGCATCCTCATCTGCATCTCAATTCTTTTCACAGGCATTTTCTTTTTACTTTATAATCCAGGAAGTTTCAGAATTGGTTCCAACTCTAACCTGAAGGAGTACCGCAGATTTTCAAGATCAGGTTTAGTTCAACTCTTTCTAAAGCGCAACTACACACCAGATTACATTTTTATAAAGAACATATATTAATGAAGATAAAAAAACAGACCATTAACACATAGCACCAACTTATGTCTTAATATTCCAACATGACTGCAAGAATCAGTGGGAGACGGTTTGAGAGGTTTTAAACCTACGCCATGAGTCTAGTGATTATATGGACTGGGCTCATGGACAACATCCAAGTCATCAGACTGACACAAGTGATACATAAAGCCATTTACGCCACATTACAGAGCCCTCTCTCTCAGCCAGCATTGCATAGAATAAACGGTAGATATTTGTGTATGCGAAGGCAAAATGGGATGCTTCCATAGTCAAAGTACCAGTTAAGAGGCAATTTAATTAAGCTGCTGGTCTCGCACAGATTTCAAAATCAAAGGCTTTCACATATGAAGCTGTTACTGGCTGTTAACTGCCACAGTACAGCAGGCTGTTGTTTATCAGTAGGCACTGTATCTGACAGCTTAAGATATTCACAATCATGCTTCCTGTGCATAGTGAGTACAGCCAATTATTGGCTTGATGGAAACTGCTGCAAAGTCCAGACAGTTCAATCAGAGCAATGGCCTCCTAATGTCCAACCACAATTACAATCTACATGACGGAAATTAGAGTTTGAGGATGTGAGCTAAACATCACATTCAGTCAGTGAATTACAATGTCACACCAGAACAATGTTCTCAAGCAGAAAACAAGCCTATTTTACATTCCCATGGGAAAAAAGTGTGTCATTCAGAAATCGTTTAAATGCGGTCATTGACGCAATCGCAGCCTCACACACAGATGTTCATTGATAACAATAACACTTCTATGAGCACAGGAATGCCTGTGAAACACGAAACAAAGAACCACCCATGATGGCTTACGTACAGCACAATCTTAACAAGATGCAGATTCAGTGTCCACCAGTTCAAGGCGTCACTTCATCATACAATACACACTGTATCTGTAAGAACTATAATACAAGGAAAGAGCACCAACATTCATGAAGAATCATGTCTATGTACAGCAATGAAATAAATACTGTTTTTTGTTTTTTTTGGGAAAGATTTACTACTTTATTATGCTTCCATCATTCTGGATTGATCTAGAATAGAGATTTTCTTTCCCCTTAACCACATATATCCAAGCTTATTTAATCAAAATTCAATAAAACAATAATCCAGTGGTTTTCTAGTGTACAGTGCACATCCTGAAAACATATTTAAAATCACATTTTTAATGTCCCCGAGAATAATAAAATAGTTTTGACTCCAACACCTTTGTAGAAAGAAGAAGGCATGTGTTCATGTTACTAATCCGGCTAAATCCTGAATAGCATTTTTGACTATAAAGAATAAATAATTTGCATAGTTTACAAATCTATACGGCACCTGAAAAATAAATAGGTCAAAACACATATTCGGGGGGGGGGGGGGGAAGTGTTAAGGAAACTATTTCAAAACTCGTCTTGGTGTCTTCAATATTAGGATTAAAAATTAAATAAATTAAATAAGCATTCTGTTTAAAGTCAGTATAGTATTACTGGAATTTGTGTTTGTGGATGTGGCTTAGAAAGAAGTAACTGTACTCTGGATTATGAGGATTTATCCAGTAGTAATATTAATATAGTAATACAGTAGTTTTAAAATGCTTTGGTCAGAAAATTGGTTGTTAAATAGCTTTTTACTGTTGAAAAGAAAAACAGTGATTTGATGCCCAGAGTGCAGGTAGATTCATACTTGAATGTATGAATTTGAAATGTAATCAAGAGCAGATCAAAATAAGAGAATAATGCCTTGAGGTCATCTAACACTGTCTCATGAACCTGCAGCAAAGAAAAAAAAAAAAAACATTTTTACTTCATAGTTTATCATTGGTAGGTTAGACTAACACGACTATAGAGCTCCAAGTACCCTACATCTGTGATTCTAGGGGTCCTAACAACTATTGATGAATTAAGAATCAAAAACAAAGCAAATCAGACAGATTCCTCAAGAATGTAGACCTGGATCTTCTTGCCATTTTAAAAAGACAATTCACCCAACAATTAATATTATGCCATCATTTACCCTCATGTCTTTCCAAACCTGTATGACTTTCTGTTCTTCTGTGAAACACAACAGAAGACATTTTGAAGCACGATACAACTGTGTTTGTCCACATAATGAAAGTCAATCGGTCTAAAACAACAAAACAAAATCTTCTTTTGTGTTCCACAGAAGAAAGAAGGCAAGTTATACAGGTTTGGAATGGCATAAAGGTGAGTACATGGCAGAATTGATATTTTTTGGGTGAACTATCCATTTAAATACTGTTACTTTTAGTTAGAACAGTCAAGCAAAACACAATAACAAGTGGCTCAAACTCAGTGTCTCAGATCAAACTTCAAATATACAACCGAAGATACTATGTATTCTCCCTTATGTTTTGCATGAGCATGGCATATAAAAGATAAACTGTGAAATTCATGCTCAGAGTGCAAGGTGTTCTCTTTTTCATAGCAAGCAGCAGCCCCCCTCACCATAATGCAAGCAGAGAGAGGTCACAGCTCTGCATGCTTGCATGAAGTACACTGGTGCAGCAAGTGTTTAAGAGACAGAAACTGGGTGCAGAAAGGCCTTTTGGGTAATTTGATAAATTCCTAAAATACAAAACTTAAGATGTTCATCAATGATTCATCCTTAAATGCTTGGGTCTCCTGCCGCTCGCTGGGTGAGTCGGTTTCACGAATGACCCCGTGTTGGATGGCTTTTTGATGGGGAGAGGGGCTGACACCTCCATGTTGCTGCTAATGTCCAGCTGCTCCACATTAGACACCTCCATGGGTGTATCAGTGGGCTGCAGGAGAGAGGAGGTGGTTGTGGGCAATTCTGGGAAGGGTGGACCCCGAGTCCAACCGTCTACCCCTTCAGCCTTCACAGGGCTGGAAAAAGCAAGTATGGCATCACGGGTTACGGATCTCGATTCATGTTAAATTACAAATGCAAAACCAGGATAAACATGACTAGATAAGCATGTTACAGCATGTACACAATCTTGGACATAAAGCTCAGATAAATGAAATCAATGTCATTCCCTACAAAATCACAGGGCTGGGAATAAATACACATTTCGATTAGTTAGTATATATATACATATAGAAGTATAAATATATATAGAGAGAGAGGAAGTAGTAAGGCATTTGGGTATTTTTCCGCCTAATGTTTAAATACTATTAATTCGGACCTACTACTCTTCTCATGTACTGTTTTCCACCTACTATATAGTAGGGAAGCAAGCATATTCAGACACAGCCTGTGAGCTTATTTTAATGATTCATTCTTAAAAGTAATCCGTTTCTTCAAATGCAGATCATGACAAATCTGGGGGGGAAAAAAATCTATATTTTTTTTACCCAGCCCTACAAGATCATAAAACTGGACATAACTACATTATACACACTTCAAACTGTGAATCTAAGTGGAATGAGAAAAACATTACCTCACTGGTGTTCTTGGGCTTCCCAGAAGCTTGCGAGGTGAACGGGATTTTGGCTCAAAAGTGAACTTCTCGTTGATGTTTTCGAGCACAGATGGAGCTATGTACGTAAAGCCCTGAGGAGAGACGACATCCGAGAAGAGATTAAATGGGGGAAAAAAAAAAGTTTGGGTAAGACAAAATAAAAGGGGAAAAAAAGTAGATGAGTGTAGAGGATGTGCAATTATGATGAACCAAAAAAAGAGCATGTCACGCTAAGAGCTGGAAAAAACAGTTAAACAGTAATAATACAGACCAGATGAGAGACATTATCCCTTTCTCGTAAGTTTGTCTACAAAAAGAAGTAATTTACCACACACTGACAATGTAGGTCGGAAGTCAGAAATGAATCTCGTACACATTCTTGAGTGCTCTACACAGCATGCTGATGATAATTAAGATCAAATGGTGTATAAACAAATTTGGAGGCTTCAGTCGGGTTCTTGTTATGTTTGGACTATGCTGTCACGTACACCAAGGCTTTAGTGGTGAGTAATATTACACTATTTGTCTGAAGAACATCTTTGTTTATTTATCTACACTACAACTCAAAAGTTTAGGGCCAGTAAGGTTTTTCTGAAAGAAATTAATACTTTTTTTTTCCATCAAGGATGTATTAAATTGATCAAAAGTTACAGTAAAGACTTTTACATTGTTACAAAAGATTTCTATTGCAAATAAATGCCGTTTATTTGAACTGCTGAAAATTTTGTTTTAATATATTAAATATATACACTACCGATCAAAAGTTTGGGATCAGTAATGTAATGTTTTTTAAAGAAGTCTCTTATGCTCATCAAGGCTGCATTTATTTGATCAAAAATACAGAAAAAAAAACAATCTTGCAAAATGTTATTACAATATAAAATAATGATTTCTATTTTAATATCCTTTAACATATAATTTATTTCTGTAATGCAAAGTTGAATTTCCATTAGCCATTACTCCAGTCTAAAGTGTCACATGATCCATAAGAAATCATTCTAATATGCGGATTTATTATTAGAATTATCAATGGTGGCAACAGTTGTGCTGCCAAATATTTTTTGGGGAAACTGCGATACTTTTTTCAGGATTCTTTGATGAATAAAAAGTTAAAAAGAACAGCATTTATTTAAAATATAATCAATTATCAATTTACCACATCCTTGTTGAATAAAGTATTTAATTTCTTTCAAAAAAAGGAAGAATAAAAATGTACTGACCCCAAACTTTTGAAATGTAATGTATATTGTTAGAAAAGATTTCCATTTCAAATAAATGCTCTTCTTTTTTAACTTTTTATTCATCAGAGAATCCTGAAAAAAGCATCACAGGTTCCAAAACAATATTAAGCAGCACAACAGTTTTCAGCACTGATAATAAATCAGCATATTAGAATGATTTCTGAAGGATCATGTAACACTGAAGACTGGAGTAATGATGCTGAAAATTCAGCTTTACCACCACAGGAATAAATTACATTTGAATGTATATTAAAATAGAATAACTTTATTTTACATTATAATAATATTTCACAATATTAAATTTTTTCCTGTATTTTTGATCAAATAAATGCAGCCTTGATGAGCATAAGAAACTCCTGTAAAAAAAATAAAAAATCGTTATGATCCCAAACTTTTGACCGGTAGTGTACTTTTTTTTAAATATAAAATGACAAATTATAATAACATTTCACAATATTACTGTATTTTTGATGAAATAAATGCAGCCTTTGTGAGCATAAAAGCCTTCTTTCAAAAACCTAAAAAAAAAATCTTATGACCCCTGAATGGTAGTGTATACAAAGCAGTACCCTATACTATCAGTAGCCCATAATATTGTTAATATCATACTTGTAATATTTTCTATTCTGTTATTGGCCAATAAACATAAAAAAAAGTTCCTTATTGGTGCATTTCAAATAAATGTAATACAGCTGGAGTCCTCACAGCAGTATAGTGTTGGTGGAAAGACCATATATTTAAAAAGTGCAGAGATAAATTTAGCCCAAAAGGTGACCAGGAAAACAAACTGACCAGGAAGACTTGGTTGGCGCTTTCGCTGAGTGTCGAGTCATCGGGACTGTCCACGGGAGTCTGACTAGTGAACTTGGAGTCAAACTGGCTAACATCATCTGCTGATCGCTGCAGAAATAGAGTTCTGTGAGGAGTTATCATCAGATACTATATCATGAGCTCTATAATAATAACTCTAAACACGCAATAAAAGAGACAAACAGTTGATTGTACAGAGAGAGAAAACACTATCTCGTACCAAAAAAGGCTTAAAGGGAGGTTCAACTTTAAAAGACAGCAGTTCATCCCAGTTCATGTGTCTGAAGAAGGAATGGGCCTAAAAAAATAAAACGGTTTTTAAAATATATAAAAAGCCACTATATGCAATCTCCTGCTTTTATGATAATAAGTCTACTGTATCATAAGGGCAGATACCTGGAGATCTAAAGCATCTCTAGGACCTGCTCCCATCCTCGTTGATGCGTTTCTTCTCAGCAGCTGGGTGTGAAACACACACAAATACACAACCCCGTTAGTTGAGCAATAGGAGAATTCCACATTGGCGTGAAACCTGATTGACCTTAAGACTTCTACCTTTTTCAGAAGGTCCCGTGCTTCTTGGGTGAGGTAAGGTGGAAGGTTCAGTTTGCACTTTAGGATTTTGTCTATGGTTTTTTTCCGATTCTCTGCAGTGAATGGTGGCTGTAGGAGAAAGTTAAGAGGTTAAAGAACAGTCTGGGTAAACTTAGTTTGTACTCTGTGCACAAATTCATAAGTCACTTGATGTCTTCACAATAATGCTTATTTTGTTTTTAAATCTGTCTGAATGGGAGGAAATTACATTCAACATCTAGCATCAAGTCCTCTAAGAGCTCATCCACAACTCAGCCAGAGTTTTCCCTATCCAAACTTTTTTT